CCTTTTCCTTTTTTTTTTTTTTTTTTTTTTTTCTTTTTCTGTCCTTATGTTTTTTCATTTGGGCCATGATAAGATTTTGTTTTTTATTTTTTTTTAGTAGAAGAACATCTTAACCCTCTTTTACAAATTTAAATAAATCTAGAGTCTCCAAGGGAAATTTCATTTTCACTGCCCAATCGTCATCGTTTTCTATTTCAAAAAAATAAAAATAAAAAAACATGTGAAAAACTTGCCTAAACATCAATAGCACAACTTCAGTAGAAGACAACTCTAGACTTAAAAAAAAAAGTGTTGATAGATAGGCAAAAATAACTAATAGATATGTGCCCAAAGTTCGATATTTAAAAAAAAAATGAAATTGAAAATAATTTTTTACATATTTATGAAAACGAAAAAGAAATTTAACCCGTAACAATATAATGTCATGCCAGCTGAACGTTCAAATCTGAGATGAAAAATGAACTAGGCCTGGTAAAAATATTTGTGGCCTTATGCCAAACTAAAACCTAAAACCTTAAACATGCAGTAAAATTTGTTGAAGTAGATATATAGTAATAACATGTCCATCCAAGCTAGTCCAATAATTTACGTAGGCGATGATGCACATGGTAACGACATGGAGAAAAGTCCAAGCTCTGCACATAGCACAAAAGGAACAGCTACTGAAATGAAGAAAAGTTGTTGCATAGACAATCATAATGTTTTGTGATTCAAAATGAGGCCAATTATCACTCAAATTTCGTCTAGAATGATGACACTAAGGACCCCACCTCATGTGCTACGACAATGGCACGAGACAATTTTTACCGTGATATGAATAGAAGTTGTGCATTGGTGGGTCTAAAGGTGAAAGTATCAGTACCTTTCCTAAGATTGAGCTGTGGATGTTGTCTCCTACTACTTTTTGTTTATTCATTTCAGCCAATATATCGGTGAAAGGAATCATGGGGTTCTGACAATGAACAGATCAAGACCGTGAGATTTGATGTGCAAATTAAGCATATATATTGGGTTTGCTAGTGACAAGTTTTGTTCAAGGGAAAGATAGTTAGCCATGGGGGAATTCAAACACTTTGTAATTGTTAAGTTCAAGGAAGGTGTGGCGGTTGAAGAGCTCACAAAAGGGATGGAGAAGTTCGTTTCAGAGATTGATGCTGTCAAGTCCTTTGAATGGTATGTCTTCCACTTTGTTACATTAGTTTGGAAAAGAATATTATGAACGTACAACTGTTTAGAGGGACTTTAGTTTATGGGAATTTCAAGTAATAATATCTGTTTAAAGAATTGATATCTTTAGATAAATATTTTTTTATTTCCATTTTTTTTATTATAAATAATATGAATCCTCTATTGAAAATAATCTTATTCAAGTTGGATAAAATTACTATTGATGACAAAAGAAATTCTCCAAACATCTAACATATTTAGTATTTGAACATGAAAGATCATTGGTTAAACTGAAAAAACTTCATTATTTAACACAATTACATATTTAGTATTTGAATATGAAAGATCATTAGTTAAACTGAAAAAACTTTGTACTGGTGTATATTTTTCTATGCAGATAAACTTACAAAACAAATTTCTTACATGTACTAAATGGATATGAATTTTGGCCAACCATATCACACCATATTGATTGTTGTAGGGGACTTTAAATTAACAAAAATAATTAAGCATAAACACAAATAGTTAAAGATTTTATAATTTTTTTAGTTCATTTTGGGGGATCATTTGGAGTTTCCATTTATTGTATTTAGCTTGAATACTGATGTACTTTACCAATAGTTTCTTATGATATGCTTGCATTTATGTTGAACAGGGGACAGGACATTGAAAGCCTAGATGTGTTGAGACAAGGTTTCACTCATGCCTTCTTGATGACATTCGACAAGAAAGAAGACTTCGTTGCATTTCAGAGCCACCCCAATCATGTCGAGTTCTCCACAAAATTTTCAGCAGCTATAGAGAATATAGTGCTGCTGGATTTCCCATCTACTCTTGTCAAGGCCCCAGCATGATCCTAAACATTTTCATCAATAAAGATTCCCTATTTAAATCTATTTAGTGTTTGTTGGTGCTTATGTCCTCTATTTTTAGTTTTGTTATGAGTTGTTACTGGCTTACTGCCACTCTCGTGCAATTTGATTTTGTAGTATGAGTTATGAATTATAATGATGAACTCTTTTTGCCTTCTTATTGATTGATACTTCTAGGAGTCGGTATTTGATGAAAATATCATTACTCGCTTTGAAATCCTTATAAAGAAGCCAGATCCTAATTAGATTGATGAAGTGAGTGATTATGAGTGACAACAAACTACTGTGGCCAATGTCATCATTCACTTTGGGAGAATAGCATCACTAAAAGGTTAAATATAAAAGCAACTTTTACATGGCAGAGCCAGAGAATGAGAATCAATGGTGCGGAACATGCATACCATAGCTTGATGATAAACAATACTTAATGAAGGATGGTTTCATATTGTATTCCATGTCAAAAAGACATGGCAAATCTAAAAAATAAAAGTTGATAGATTCCCGCAAAAGCAACATGACCTCTTTCTAGCTATTAACATGGGGCCAACTTGAAACTTGATTTCAAAGCAGAAGATTCTCAATATCCAATTTTATGCCTTGCTATCTAATGTCATCCTCAGAGATAAAACTAAAACCCCACACAACTCAGAATGTGATAATTAAAGCATCGTTAGCTGCATTCAAAGAGAAAAGCTATGAACATGAAGCCATTCAAGAAACTCCAACTTCATTATTATTTGCTCATTTTCCATATTACACTATGTACTCCTATAGAACAACATAATCATTCAAACTACTGTGGTGATAGTGATATTAAAACTCAAACATCTTTCTTGAGTCCAAACTCTTCTATTACATCTCTATTAATTAACATCACCCTATGCAGATCCAAAAAACTCTACTTGAGAACATCTCTTGGCCTTTTCCAAGTTTCTTCACTTGCTATAATTCTAGATTACTAACTATATCTCACCCTTGTTCTTCTTCTCTCCATTATATTTCTCCTCTAGCTGTTACTTCTGGTTTTCCTTCTCTTCCAGAAGCTAACTCACTCCTTCTTTACAACTGCACAAGCAGAAGAGACTCCATTCCATCATTTTTGGGAATTTGCAAAGGCTTACATAAATGTGGAGCTGCTGGTTCAACCTCTTATAGGATTCAAGAGCAAGAGAAAAATCCATATTCATGTTTAGTTATTGAAGATCTGCAAGAGGTTGACAAGGGCTTTCGTCCTCAACATTTGAATTGCTCTCATTACAGATTGGTGCATAGAAGTTCCTCAAAAGTTGAAGGTTATGAGTTGGGAATATGGGTGTCCTTTGATGTGCCAAATCATGTAGAAGATCTTTGTAAAGAGTGTGAAAAGCCTAATGGCAATTGTGGTGTTGGGTTGAAGTGTTTGTGCCATGCAAAAGAGTGCAGTGAGTGCCTAGATCTCTGACATGCACAAATAATTTGTTTGGATATAAATTTAAAATAGCTTTTGAGAGTTTTTTTACTTAAAGAGTTTATTCTAGTAGGAAAGTTCTTAAAAACACTTCTTTGTAGCCAAACAGGCTCAAAGTCTTTTAATTTTACTTCCTTTTGTTTAATTTATTTTGATTCCATGCAAATGGTTTGGCGACTCTGATGATGTTTTTGCAGAAGACAAGATCATCTCAGAAAGTGGGTCCATGAAATATGTTGGTATATATTTCATGTTATTTTCTCTTTCCTTTCCTTCACTGGTGCATTAGCCTTCTTCATGGATGTCTAAGTAGCCTTTTAGAGATTGATTTCTTAGGATAGAATATTTTGTTTATTTTTCATTTGCTATGTATGATTATATGTTATAATGGTCGAATCTCATATGTTAGAATGTAACTGGCACAACTATTATTTTGGTAAACTAAGACAAATTTTTTTTTCATACATATGGATCAAAGATCAAATTTCTAATCACATGCTTAAAGAGCAAAATTATTTATTAATTATGTCACATTTTATTGGCACAACTTTGATATCAATAAATATCAATCACTCAACCAAAGAAATCAAATTGATCTTCAAGTAAGTCAACTCTAAATTTGATAAAATAATTGCTTAATTTTTTTTTAATCATAGAAGAAGGTTTATTATAATGTGGCTGTTGAATACATAGGCAAAGTAGTAATGACATTTCAAATTGTTGCCAGAACAGAAGCAGATTAATGTGCAGATGATTCTTATTCTTTACTTATTTATCACAGGGCAGTCTAGGCAATTATCCAAGACACTTATTGGATCATTGGCACCCTCAAAGAAATTAATGCGACAAATACTAAATGGAGGATATTGATAAAGAAAGTGTAAAATATGAAGCATATATGATGTATCTGTCTGAAGGATTCCGAATCAAGTAGACTGAGATTTCATGAGCAATAGAAGCCAAATCCTTGACAATCTAGATGAACTCCCTATAAGAATATATGAATCGAACGATAAAGCCATAATACAAATTGAAAACTAGTGGTTTTATTACACTGTCAGTAAGCTAAATTGTACTATAAGAGAAATAAGCCTTTAATAGAAAAAGTAATTCATTAGAAAATCTGTATCTCTTGAGGCGTTAGGATACAGATTTGAGGCTTTCTTCGTAGTTAATTGGTCAACTTGGTCAAACAAGTAACCAACTAACAAACAAATCAATTCAACAAAAAAAAAAAAAATAAATTCAAAAAAAAAAAAAATAAATTCAAAAAAAAAAAAAATAAATTCAAAAAAAAAAAAAATAAATTCAAAAAAAAAAAAAATAAATTCAAAAAAAAAAAAAATAAATTCAAAAAAAAAAAAAATAAATTCAAAAAAAAAAAAAATCAACAAAAATGATTACTTAAACAAATTCACAATTGTTTGGGCTTTTTCATGGGGTTTTCTTTAGTTATATATGCATTAATCTATCTTATGTGGGCCAAGCATTGATTTGGACACACTAGTACTATCGCGTTCCTTCCACCTGCCAAAACAACCTTGTACAGCACTTGGTATCAACAAAAAAATAAATTCGATTAGCATCTATGTTTGACCATTGGTCTCGATATGGTAAGAGAATATTCATATCCAACTTGATGCCACATAGCATCATCATATACAAGTGCATCGGCATATAATTCCGTATTTTGTGGGAGAAAAATTCTTTACATAGAAGAGTGATTGATTGTCGTTTTTATTATTTTTATAATAATAAATTTAGGTCTAAACCAACTCTAAAAAATTAACTTGGAAAATAATTATGATATTATCTTAGAATAGTAAATTTGAGTCTAATTAAACTTTACAAAATTAGCTTGGAAGATAAAATTGCTCTGCACTTATATATTATTTAATTGTCTAATATCTGATTTAAGTTTTTTTAATAATTACGAAAGATGGACTCATCAACTCGATAAAATCTGGTTTGAAAAGGTCAGTTAGTAATTAACCTAGGAAGACAGACAACTTCCTAGTTTCGAAACTTGAAAATCAGTGAGATCATGTTGATAAATGACCTTAGAGAGTACATGACATTTCATTTCAATCTCGAACGCTAATAATTGACCTACTACGGATAAACGACCCTACAGTATATATCATAATTGAGAACCTTGAATTATTGGAAACTAAACTTTGGTAGATCCATATAGTTAGCATCCTATTCCTATGTGTTCGACGGTTTATACGGTGGAAAATGATGTCTTTTTAATATTTAGTTTAATAAATTAATATTTGAATCCCATTAAGTCGTCATATTTTTCATGCAGGTCCAAGTAAGGCATGTGCATTATGCAGTCAAAATGATGCTCACCACCAAACGCTTGTTCCCCATAAGTGCAAACTGCAAATGAGATTGATAAAAGTTGCCACACTGCACGATCCACGATGATTAATTAGTGAAAAAAAAAAGAGTAAAAAACATTACCCTCTAATAACGTTTCAAACAGCTTTCCATGCTGTTCACTGTATAATTATCTACAGTCACTAGTGTTTAATTAGCTTACTCAAGCTACCACTTTACAAATTCAAAACACGTTTGTATTATTATATATGAAATGTTTGATATAGATGCATTGTAGAGTGAAAGGAAACTACATTTGCATGCGAGAGAGAAAGCATTCACATCATCACAGACCCTCCAAAGTCAGAAACATATAACGAATCTGTTCAGAAGTCGATGACTAAGGGGAAGACCGGACCAACTGGCATGAGAATAATTTTTCATAGATGCTATATTTTTTCTATAACTATTTATAGAAACACTAAGATTAATCAAACAAATTTTAGTTATTTTTAAAAATCATAATTTTTAAGGTTTATAATCCTTAAGAATCATGATTATTCTTGAATATGAAAAAACTTATTTCATTTTCTAATAATGTAAAATAGTTTTATATTATTATTTAATTATATTTTTATAAGATTATAATTATAATTTAATCATTAAATTAGTATTTAAATCATTTTAGTTAATTTTTTTTTTAAAAAATTAGTACACGTTTATTTAACAGATAAATCTAAAAACTTAAAATAGTATATTAAATTAAGGTTTAATATAACATCATTTTAGGCTCATGAACATTTTATGATTTTTCAATTAGGTCTCTCTAAACTAAGAAAATTTATAATTAAGTCAATATTCATTTTTTTATATTTTGTATTTTAGTCCCTAAAGTTACAAAATTTTTTACAATTCATGAAATTTCACTTAATATTATTGATAGATATAAATCATGTCATAGAAAAATAATTTAATATGATTGTCTAGATATGTAGATACTATAAATATTTTGTAAAACTTCATAGATTGTAAATGAATTTTTAATTCTAGGGACTAAATTACAAAATTATAGAAATATGAAAGATCTAATTATAAATTCTTTTAACTTAAGGGCTTAATTAAAAATTGGTTAAAAACCTATTTTGGTCCCTTATAATATTTTTTTTGTTTTAATTTAGTCCCACTTTAATTTTTGGTTTCAATTTGGTCTTTAATAATTTAAATTAGTACAATCTCGGACTTCTGTCCAAATTATTTAAACGAAGTTAACTGTTAGTCACGTGGATGCCACGTAGATGCATAGGTGGATGTCAAATTTCTTTAATCTACTTGGAACCAGAACGACCGTTCTGAAACAAGAACGGCCCGTTCTGGTTGCACATGTTGTGTGTTAATTTTGCATCCGGAACGGGCTGTTCCAGATGCAAAATTAACACACCACGAGTGCAGCAGAACGGTCCGTTCTGGTTTTAGAACGAGCCATTCTGGATTCAGAACGGGCCATTCCAGAACGTCAACAACATACGTACGTTCAACAAAATGCCGCAATGTGGTTCAAAAATTGAAAATAAAAATTCATAACATAACATAAATTCAAAGACAAAAATATGGTTCAGAGACTGAAAACAAAAATTCATAACATAACATATACTAAGAAAGTTCAAAGAAATTACTGAAAAGGGAAATCATCTGGATAACGCTGAAAGTGCCAATAATACATCTTATCCACCATATAACACTAAATGGCTGTCAAGATATCAACATTATCTACCTGTACATGTGGTTGTGTGGTGAAATATTGGTCCTGTGTGTCCTCTTCCTCTTCTTTAGGTTGTACCCCCTCAAAAACAAGTTGTTGTTGTTGGGGTATATCGGTCAATGACTTCAAGGGAAAACACCATGTTGTTTCATCCTTGACTGTATAGTGTCGATTTCGTAGTAAATAGTTCACTCCAGTTTGACTAATAATGAAATAAAACATGTCACCATTGTCCTTAGTGATACACTGCATTATCCTTAATGATACACTGTATAGCCCAAATGTTTGGTAATTGAAGTTATCAATCCTCATTGACAATATTATCGAATCCAATGTTTGAAATGCTTTGTACCTTGAGTCTTTTTCCTTGCACGATTCACAACCGTGATTTAGAATCACGGGCGTGAACTATAATCATCGACCATTTGTGTTTGACATTCTGAAACCAGAACAGTCCATTCTGAAACCAGAATGACCCGTTCTGGTTCAAGATGCATTAAATAAATTTGACAATCACCTATGCATCTACGTGGCATCCACGTGACCAACAGTTAACTTCGTTTAAATAATTTGGACGGAAGTCCGACATTGTACTAATTTAAATTATTATGGACCAAATTGAAACCAAAAATTAAAGTGGGACTAAATTGAAACAAAAAAATATTATAAGGGACCAAATTAGGTTTTTAACCTTAAAATTTTTTTAAAAATTAAGAGTAAATGATATATTTAACCTAGAGCTATCAAAGTGGGCTTAGCCCAATGAGCCAACCACTAGTACAAAAATCACTTTTAAAATTGGGGTTTTAAAATCGGCTCATTAAGAACCGATTTTAAAAATGTCAACGCCTATATTTATTCTTTTTCCCTCCCTCTATTTTCTTTAATCCTTTCCTCCATTTTTTTCTTTACTCTCTCTCGCACTCACATTTAAAGTTCCTAGCTTTTCATTTTCTTTGTAAGACTATATCAAGGTAATATTCTAATTTTTTTCTCATGTCTTGCATTTCCGTAAATTTCGAATCTGAAACGGCCTGTTCTGCAGTCAGAATGGCCCGTTCTGGTTGCAATACGGGCCGTTCCATACTACAATTTTCGGCCTTTTGAGGAAACTGGAACGACCTGTGCCAATTTAAAAGTCTAACTTTTAAAATCGGTTTATGCATGACCGATGTTAAAAGTTTTATACTTTTAACATCGGTTAATGACCGATGTTAAAAGTTCCATTTTTTGAAATTGGCTCTTTTAAAATCGGTTAGAGAACCGATTTTAAAAGTAAAAAATGACCGATTTTAAAAGTATTTTTTCCACTAGTGAACCCGGCCCACCACAGGTTCATGCCGGATTGGGTTGAAAAAAAAATTAAAAATTTCAATACGGGTCAATTTTGAACTCGGCTCACTAACAACACGGCTCACCACGGGTTCAACCCGTGGTGAGCCGGACTGACCCACCAACCCGTGATTAATTTTTTTTAAAAAATATAATAATTATTGGGCCATGGTGCAACCTAACATGAGACAATAATGATTTAATGTTGGACTGTGATTTGTAATTTTTATGATTTTGGATTATATTCGAAGTTTAAGATGATTTTGGATTATATTTATCTATTTTAGATTATTTAGATTTGATTTGATTGTATTTAAAATTATCATTTAATTTTAAATAGCATCATTTATGGATATCTTAATTAAGAATCTCAAATTTTTAAAATAGGTTTAAATTTTTTGAGCTTTAGTTGTATATTAAGAAAAAAAGATGAAAAAATAATTTTTTTTAAGGTGAGTCAATCCATTTAACCTACCAACCCGTGGTGGACCGGGCCGGGCTAGGCTGGATGACCCATTTTGACAGCTCTAATTTAACCTAAAATTTAAAATAGAGAAATTATATCAACGCTCTACTTGCTGTTTTGATTTCGTGTGATTAATTTTACGCAATTTTTTTACTACTTTTATAGTTTACGGCATCTCTTACAGAGAACATAATATAATAATATTTTAAATAATTATGAAATTAATATAATATTTAAAGAATGTCTATTATGTTTTTATAGTAAATAATTAAGAAGAGTAAATACACAAGTATATGTTTAAGAAGCTAATACAATGTTTAGTAAATAATTATGTTTCAAATAATTTTATTTTTGACAGAAATTATATTTCGAATAATTAAGAAATTGCTTCTGCCAATACCTTCATAAAAAAAATAATTAAGAAGTCACTCATTGCAATATTTGATGCAACGATGGAATAAAAAGTTTAAAAAGTGTATGACTCCTTGGCTATTACAACTTAGAAATCAGGATAAAAATTTCGAGTTAGGATCAATAAATATAATAAGCATAACCTAAGTTGTTTTGCTTAGAATCAACTATTATAAACGCAAATCAAAAATGATTAAAAATCAATCAAAATACTCTTCCATTTGTGGTCACTCGTCAATATTCAGAAAACGTGAATCATAAATGCATATCACCTTTCCAATATTTCACTATCAATTCCATCATTCTACCTTAAAAGTCTTCAACGAATAATTATCCTCCCTCAAGCCACGCGAGGTGGCGCCGTAATTTTATATAATTTTTTTAATTTTTATTTTATTTTATATAATCTCATATACTTTACTTTATATATCTATAATTTAAAATATAGTTTTTAAAATTTTTATATATTTTTTCATATAATTTTAATCTTATAGTTTAAGATAATTTTTTTAGTCTTTTTATTCATAATTTTTTTAATTATTTTAGCTTTTGTCGATAATTTTTTTGTAACATTTTTTTATGTTAATATGATAGAAATATTAATTTAATTTTGTATGTTTGATATAAAATTTATTTTTTTTAAATTATTCTAAAAAAATTATATCTCTTAATGTTTCATATTTTTTTTATCTTTGTTTGTGATATTCATTATCAAGGCACTTTTTTTTACAAGATTAAAGATTTTTATTGTGTTAATATAAAATAGACAATGTTACAAAAATAATAATTAGAATTAAAAATATAAAAAATTGATAATATAAAGATTAAAAAATTTATCTTAAATTATAAAAATTAAAAAAATAAATATAAAAACTAAAAAAAAATATTTTAACCTATAAGAATAAGAAGTAAAGTAAGTAAACTATAGAGATTAAAAAAAATATTTTAACATGGTTTTTATATAAAAATTGAACTAAAATTTTATAATTATACATATATACTAAAAGAACTGTTTTTAAGCTTCACGAGATGCATATATATCTTACACAAACGACAAGGAAAATATAAGTTTAATTCCACATTTTAATATATTTATTATAGTTAATTAATGCGTAATTTTGATCTTTAATAAATTTTGAAGTAATTTTGATTCTTTAATTTTTAAAAATATAAATTAAATAGACTAATAATTGATATTATTTTAATTTAACCAATCTTATATTAAATATAAATCTAAGATGTACTTCTCTTGTGTGAAAATAAAATAAACTCTATGTTATATGTAGTGTGAAAACCAAATATAAACTCATGTACATTCTGAATGCCACAATCAAATCATTGTACGATACAATGTCTTCACCCCTCTTTAAATACCCCTCCAATTCCCAAATTCCATACTACATATGTCCTATATTCCCATTACCAAATTATTCATAACTCTCACTTTCCGTTCTCAATTACTAAACTTCTCTCATTACCTCCACAATGAATTTCGAGATCGAATCACCATTTTCTTTTCAATCTTCCTCTCTCATATGTACACCACCTAAAAACCCTAACCTAGTTTCAGAAACATCACAATTTGTCTCACACAAAAGGAAAGGGGGAAGAAAGAAGTTCAAGGAGACTCGACACCCTATTTATAGGGGTGTCCGACAAAGGAAGGGAAAATGGGTGTGTGAACTTAGGGAACCAAAGAAGACATCAAGGATTTGGTTAGGGACATACCCTACACCCGAAATGGCAGCTAGGGCACACGATGTGGGTGCCCTAGTAATTAGGGGCACCTCAGCCATATTAAACTTTCCAAATTCACTTTCTTTTCTTCCAATTGTTAACTCATCTTCTTCACATAAAGATATTCGAGCAGCTGCAGCAGAAGCTGCTGAGAGTTTTAGACCTATAACCTCTTTTAACCAAAAGATCGGTCGCAAAACTAAATGTAAGAGATTTACAAAGGTTTCATCAATAGAAGAGAAAAAGAAGAAAACAGTGTTGGAGTCTTCATTGAAGAGCATGCATAGTTTGGATCGTGAAAAATGTGATGCTATCAATAGTGGCACAGAGAAAAGCATTGAGGATTTGTCTTCAACTCATGTGTTCTTTGATGAAGAGGCTTTCTTTAACATGCCAAGTCTCTTGGATAGAATGGCAGAGAGTTTGGGTGTTTTTCCACTACCATATCAGGATTATTTGGATGATTATGCTTATTGCATGGACTTTAATTTATGGACGGATTAACCATCAACCTTCAAGTTCAACCATGGAAGAAATGTATGTGTTTAACGTTGAGACAGACTTTGCTTTGTTCATGATTTATTATTAATTGGCCATTTACGTACTCATATAAATGCAATAAAATTTAATCACACTTTGCGCCTTTGCTTTGCTTTGTGTAAATGTAAGTGGGGTGGATAAGGAGATATATGGATGGCCATTTTTATTTTAATTTTCACTAGTTTAGGGTTTTTTTGTGTGAAAATTTACTGAAATTTTACATAAAATTACAACGTAACAGAAGCATTAAAGAAGTCATGTTACAATACACAAATTCCCATTCACTAAAAAAACACGACTTCACCTTAAAAATAATTATGTTTTTGTAACACGACTTCACTAATTTCTAATTTTTTTTAAAAAGTTGCCCATTTTAATTTTTTTTTATCCATTTTGGTGAAAAAGAAAACGGAGATGGATTGACCTTATAAATTTGCAAATTAATTTCAATATACATACCATTATCGGTCCTTTTCACATGTGAAATTAACTAAATAAAAGTTGGTAACTAAAAAGAAAAAAACTAACAAAAAAAAAAAGAAACGCGGCATCAAAATCTTTTATTATATATATATA